TTAGTGTTGTTCTTTCAAGTTCGTCTAAAACTCCTAAGAAGTTATAAACATTAGTGTTATCCTATTTTGGGTATCATTTATGTGATGTTTGCACTGCCAAGAATGCTTCTCGCACACTTTGGACTCTTTGGTGGTTTGCTTTCTGAAAACCAACTGGTTTTGGACAAATTCTTTGTTTTGGAATTCAACCCAGTTGCATAACGCTATTATGCTTTATCCAAAGGAAACACTTTTCTCTGTTTTTAATTTGGTTAGGGGTAAAATAATCACCTACTGGTTCAAGCTACTAATTAGCATTTCTTGGACAATCAGAGCTTTCAAAACATTATTTCCGTTCTGTTCACAAGGTCTTATTTTAATCAGTCCTAGTGACACTGTTTGCGATGGTTGGAAGAAAAAAAATTTAAATGCTGTATAGAGGGGTCCGTGCATTCTGTTGAATAAGAGTGAGTGAAAATGGTGCCCTGCACTCGTTATAGCATTTGGAATGAATATTTACTGACATTAAAAGTCTAATAGTTTTTCTTCCCCAAGGTGTTTTGGTGCTATTTTAGTAATTGATAAGTATATCAATACCCACTGCCCAAAAAAGTCACATTACTTGTGGCGCTGATATAGGAAGTGGTGTACAACTCCTTGCAAAAACAAATACGTATTAATAAAAGTGGGAGGGGAGAAGATCAGTTGACACTAGTGTAAAATATATAGAATTTTGCACCAGTTATTAGCATGTGATAGGATCTTGTTTCCCCAATTTAACCTGTAGATATAATTTTCTTATCACACACGTATTGTTTCTGTTCGATGCAAGATCGGCAACTATTCCATGAAGAAGGTTAAAAATTTAGTATAGATGCTCTGTTTGACATACATGGTGGGTACTCTTACAACGGTTGGATCTGGAAAATAAAGTCCAACAAAAAGTTATTAAGGGGTGCAGAACACGTTAGTTATGCAAAAGTGTAATTGATCCTGCTTCTAAAGAGTTAACTGACGTATAACATCATTTAGGACTCCCCCATTGATTTCCCTAATCTGCATCTTTTTAGGGAAGTATGATTAGAAGGGAGAAAATTCCCAAGTTTGTGTCCCTGTAGTTCAAATTTCGCCAGTCACTGGCTCATGAACAAAAACAATTGTCCAATGCATGTACAACATTTTTTCAAGAAAACCTTCAAGGTATAAGTGAGCTACATGTCAGATTTACCAGGAAAGACAAAGGGTAGGGAAACCAGAAAGGAAGAAGACTTATGTCCTGTGGATTAGTTTTCCCTGTGTGCAAGTTTTGTTTCAACAACTAAATGGAATGGTAGAGTTCAACAATTGATTTTATACAAAGAAACTGCACTTATTTTTTGTGTGAAAGATTTTTTGCAAGTGGCATAAGATGCTTGTATTTTTAATTGCTACTTGATCTTCAAATTTTTTTTTTACAGTTCTGTTCTTTGCATCAGTTCCGTTTAAATGAATAAAATCCCAAAAATATAAGAACATTGAAGATTGCTTTTGCAGCAATCAAGTCTGAGCAAGGTTTAAATCCTCTGTTTTGCCCAGTATTACGTTGATCCAGTTTCAGGCCGCCGGTTTCGGTCAAAGGTAGAAGTTCTTTACTTTCTGGAAACAGGAACAATTAAAAGGAAGAAAACAACAGAGAATGCCAGTGGTGACAAAACAGTGAGTAAAAAATGACTTCTTATTTGGCCAACAGTGGTTAAAGGTTTTCTTTTATTTTTCTTACTGATGTATTTTTCCATTTACCTTATTTCTGTCAGTCTGTAGAGGGTTCTGGAAGCCATAAACAAAAGAAGTCTAGCACAAAGCCGAAGAGTTCTGCTTTGAACTTTGATTTTGTCAATGTGCCTGAGAACGTTGTATGGGTTCTTACAGACTCTTCTGCAGGGTCCTGGACACCCTTTATTGGTAACAAAGAGGTGCCTGAATCTACTACACAAGAATGGGCAGCTGCATTCACATCTGCCACATCCCGAAAATATTGATCATTCTCATTGAAAATATTTTGAACCCTCTTTCCATATCACGAGGATGCACCACGAAAAATGGTTATTCTTTTTGCCAACAGACTACACTGACCAATATTAGATCATCTTTCTCCATACTTCCTCCCTACTGATCTTTTTGGAATCTTTTGAATCATACGGACTCATATCATATGACAGCGGATCTAGTCTACATTGTTTTTTGGTATTTAGTCATTTTGGGTACAGAGCTATTCAAAACTGTCTTATATTTGCTCTTGATCAAGTTTTTCTTTCTTTCTAAGTAATGTTATTGGCATTCCAAAATAGTCATTAAGCTAGTTGCGCTCGTTTGCAAGTTTATGGAGGTGTAAGCATATTTTGGAGTACATATAACATCTCTCCGTTAATTCTCTCTTTACATGTAACTCATGTCTATGTATATCTGTTACCTTCAGAATTTTGTGTTTGACAGTTCATTCAATAGGCATATGTGATTTTTATGTTTTAGTGAGCACTCTCTTTCATCCTTGTAAAGAAGTGGGCAACGCTAAAGAACACTATTTTTTCGCATCAACCAAGATTAGTGGAAACAAAAACTAATGAATTTTCCCAAAAAATGTAGGTAGCCGCCTTGTGAATGTGTTTTTTGGCCGATTTAATTTCCGAAGGTGAGTCCTTCTGAATGTCTTTTTTCGCTGACGCCGTTTAATTTCCGAAGGTGATCTACAACTCAATTCTGTGAGACATTATGAACTCATGATGTACTCGGTTATATTCACCAAAGGGAATTTGTTATTGGCACTTTAAAAAATGTCATCCACAAATAAACGTAAGTAAGAATTTGTATATAGAGAAGTGTATGATGGCTTTTTTTATGTGTCAATGGGAGTCTACTCACCTGCAAAGTTCTCAAATTGCCATAGTAAATCAACAAAATATATTGATACTTATTTATGCAAAGCAAAACGCAAAACTATGTCGGACTAGTTGTCATCGAAATATAAAATCATATCTATAATGGGACTATTTGCTAAAATAATAATAGATTAATTTTTTTTTTTTTCCAAAATAGTTGTACTATTTGAAAGTATTTCCCATTTTTCTTCCACATGCAGAAGATTTACAACCAAGTTACCCTGAATACAGAACTCCTCTTACACCCAAGTTCGATTCCCTATTTTCATAAATTGGATTAATGTAAAATAATTTAGACTATCGCTTATATTAAAAAAAAACAAAAATATCTTAAAATAACTTACTTTTGGGTAAAAAGTCAAATTATATATGTTTTTAATGAAGGACGGGCAAACAACCCCACCGTTATAAAGGTGATTTGTCTTTATCTATACAAACCCTGTCCAATTTTGGTTTTGGAAACTTCTTGCCCACGCTTTTTCTTCTTCTCCGAAATTAGAAACCCTCTTTTCTTTTTTTCGGTTACAGTTAGAAACCATGTATGATAAGTACGGGGGGACTAATTAAGCCTCTCCCATTCCTATTCTAATTTGGTTTTAAAACTTCTTATAAATATATTGTCGCCAGTAGTAGCTTATAGCCTCCTCAAATTAAAAGAACCTCATTCTTGTTTCTGAAAGCGTATACATAATAACCTAGTTGATTAAGGTAAACAAGCTTTTCAAATCTTCTCTCTCTCTCTCTCTCTCTCTCTCTCTCTCTCTCTCTCTCTCGTATAGACATCATGTCTGCTTTTGATTTTCCAATGCCTCTCATCATCGTGTTTCTAATCCTCATTATCATTGGTTTTTGCGGGCCAGACCGCACCCGGGATGGTTCTTTTCGGAGTCATAATGCATGTCATGTTGATCTTGAAGCAGGTCGACCGCAGGCCTCAACCGTCTTCACGTATACTGGTACTACTGGAACTGACTGTGCAATTTGCTTGGAAGATGTTATGGAGGGGCAGAAATGTCGGTTGTTTGCTAGTTGTAAGCATTCGTATCACAAGTTCTGCATTGATCAGTGGCTAGCCAGAAGGAAAACTAACTGTCCCCTTTGCCGTGCTCCTGTTCAAAATATATCTTAGTTATGTACTTGTGATGTTCAAAGCTCTTATAATAGATAGAATATTTCAATCACAGTCATGTACTCTTGCATTATGTTAGCAGCCAAATAAAAATATGGAATAGCATTGAAAGTTTTGAAATTCTGATTTTCTTTGCACAGCGCCTATGGTTTTTCATCCAACTGCAAGCAAGTTTTAACTCATCAATTCCCAAAACTTGCACACCAGTGGTATAAGGTTGGAATCACCATCCATGATACTTTTGTAGTGTGTATGAGAAACCTCATTTCTCTTTGTAATTTAGACTATAACTTGTGCTAAAAAAAGAAATTCCCAGATAGAAAGAATTTTAGCCCCTTTTCCCTTGAATATTGGTATTTTATTTATGAATATTAAGACTATACGGGACAGTTTGATGTCGAAATATGACATGATATTAATATAATGGGATTATTTGCTAGAATAATTATAGTCGTAGGATTTGAAAGTATTTCCCTTTTTTCAGTCTCAACAAAATATTATTGTTATTGTATTTTTGAGCTGCAGTAATCGATTTCATGCAATTTTCTATAGTCATCTTATGTTACCCCAAAAACTTGATAATTAAAATTTAAAATAACCTGACAATTAAATCCTAAAATTTTAAAATATGTGGATTAAGCCAGTTAATCAGGTTAGTGAGTCCGCACCCTTGCACTCAGGTTTGATTCTCTCTCCTGGTAAATTAGATAAAATAACCTGATTTTGGGTGAAAAGTGAAATTATATGTTTATAATTAATAGCACAGTTTATGGACGGGCAAATAACCCCGCCGTTGTTTTCGGTTACAGTTAGAAACCTCTACAATTCTGATTCTAATTGGATTTAAAAACTTCTTGTTTCTGAAATTAAAAGAAACTCATCCTTGTTTCTGAAAGCTTGTACATAATAACCTAATTAATTAAGCTAAACAAGCTCTTCAATAATTCTCTCTCTCTCTCTCTCTCTCTCTCTCTTTCTCTATCTCTCTCGCGTATAGACATCATGCCTGCTTTTGATGATGTCTATTCAACCCTTGCCCTCGCCATGGGAGGCCCCCTCACAATCATGATCTTCTTTTTTTGTTGCAAAGACCGCACGCCCAATGATCATTTTCCGAGTGATGATGCACGGCACGATGATCTCGAAGCAGGTCGACCGCTGTCAAATCTTGGTCGTAATATTGCTGCAGTACAGCCGCCGCAGCAGGCGTCAATCCTCTTCACATATACTGTTACTACTAGTCCTGAGTGTGTAATTTGTTTGGAGGAGTTTAGGGAGGGGCAAGAGTGTCGGTTGCTTGCTATTTGTAACCATTCGTATCACACGTCCTGCATTGATCAATGGCTAGCCATAACGGAAAGCAACTGTCCTCTTTGCCGTGCTCCTGCTCAAAATGTATCTTAATTAGGGGGATTTCTGTAATTCTCAGTTGATTACTTTTGATGTTACAAACACAGAGCATGTAACTATCAATTTTACTCGTACCTTTAGAAGTAAATCCCCTCTTGCATTATGTTAGTAGCCAACGAGAAATATGAAATTGCATTCCAAGTATTCAAGTTCTGATTTTCTTGCACAAGGCCTATGGCTTTCATCAACTACAATTTTTAACTGACATCAATTCCCAAATAGAAAGAATTTTAGCTTCGATTCATCCTGAATTACAATGTATATTTCTACTACATACACTTGAGCAATAAAAAAATGGACAAAAAATGTATTACAACAGAAAAAAAAATGACAGAGATATGTATCTTTGAATGTATATTATGCAAAAACAAACTTGAGCAATACAGAGAGGGCAAAAAATGTGTATTATGGTCATATATTTCCATTAACTTTCATCCTTTTGGAATTACTACTACCTAGAGAGAGAAACCTAAGTTAACTGACAGAGTGCACCTAAAGGCCAAACTCTGAAGAAAAATGCAAACCCATAAAAAAAGGGGATATACAGAACCTCATGAACAACAATGTAATTGTTCAGCCAAAAAAAAAAAAAAGAAGAAATTTTGAGACTGAGATCCTTACTGGGTGAGGCAAGATATTGGAGTATGAAGCTGTACAGCTGTGAGACTTCTTGTACCTCAAGGGAGCTCTTTAGTCAATACATATGGGTGTTGTCCGGGTCACCGAACAAGGTGTCCGGGTCTTATGAACGAGACATACGATTCCATCTTATGGAAAGTTTTAGAAATTGGGATTCTCATTCACATTCAAACATTCATAACTTCACCAGTACTATTACCTTTCGCTTTAGAAAGTATGTTATACAAAGAAACTGATGGTCTTAAATCTGACTCTATCATCTCTTTAAGCAGAAACTCAGCCTCCTCCCACTTCCCATCATTACAAAGCACTACAATGGTGGAACTGTAGCTAGCCACATTGGGAATCATTCGATTCTTTCTCATTTCTTTGAGCAACCTCAGTGCCCTGTAAGAGCTACCCTCTTTGCAGTAACCATGAATCATCATATTATATATGACATCATTTGGCTCCAAATTAGTGTCACTCATTGATTTGAACAGCTTCGATGCTTCCTTCATATCGCCTTTCATGCATAATCCATGGATTAAGACACCATAGGTGTGAGTATCGGGCACCATACCGGCCTTCTCCATGGAAAAGAATATCTGAAATGCTCTTTCCATGTCACCAGATCGAACTAAGGCATCGATTAAAATTGTATACGTCACTTTAGAAGGAGAAACACCTCTGTCGTTCATCTCTCTCACTAAATCAGCAACTCTTGCAGAATTTTGGGCTCTAGCAAAGCCTTGAATCAAAACATTATAAGTCACCAAAGATGGTGATTGTCCATTTGACTTTAACTGATCAAATAAACTCAAAGCCTTGTCCAACTTTCCTAGGTTACAAAACCCATTAATTAGTGTGTTAAAAGTAACTGTGTTTGGACTAATACCTTCCCTTATCATCTGATTAAAAAACTTCTCAGCTTCCCACATCCTGATTTCCCTGCACAATCCGCAAATTACGGTGTTGAATGCTACAACATTGCAGGCCACTCCTCTCTCACGCATTTCATCGAACAGTTCCAAAGCTCTGCTCATTTTCCCATCATTGCAACGCTCATTAATCAAACAATTATAAGTGCATACATTAGGAACAACCCCATTACTTTTCATCTTGTCATAGAGCTCGAACCCATCTTTTTTATGGCCTTTCTTGAAAAGCCCATCAATCAACGAAGTATATGTGTACTGGTTAGCAACCAAACCAAGCTCCTCCATTTTACCAAACATCTTCTTTGCCCTCTCTAAATCACCATTCTTACAACACCCATCAATCAAAGTAGAGAATATAACAACATTCGGAGACAGACCCATTTCCTCCAATTGAACCAAAAGCTCGAAACCTCTATCCAAATCACCAGCTTCGCAGCAACTTTTTATCATTATCCCAAAACTATACACATCCAACTCAACCCTACCCTTAAACTCATTGAAAACCCACCAAGCTTTTCCAAAATCTTTTGACTTAACAAGAAAACCCAACAGATTATTAAAAGTGTTTGATCTGGGAACGAGGCCCTGGTCAACCATCTGCTTCAAAAAGTAAAGGGCTTGCTCTGGCAACTGAGATTGAACATGGGCATTGATGATAGTTTCAAACAGATGACTACAGAGAGGGTTAGAACTCAAGTGGGGTTGAGTTAAATGGTGGAGGAGAGAGGAGGGAGTGAAGAATGGGGAAGAAAGTCGACCAGAGAGCACTTGAAGAATGATAGACTGGGCGTGTGTTGGCATGTTGGAGGAGAGAAGGCGGTGGAGAATGAAGGATATGGATTGGTGGGTGTGTTGGAAGCCTTGGAGAGTGGAGGAGTTGAAAATTGAGAAGGCTTTTAGTGGCGGGCTCTTCACCATTTTCTGAATGAGTAGCAAAGCTTCGTTCGTTAGAGACATTACTGTCCTGCGGTTTCTTGTTGCCTTACCTCTCTTCGGAATTAGAATTAGCTGAACATTTTAGGAACTCGGAATCGGAAGTTAGTTTTGCCCACCCATGATGAAAGGGGCCGGGTTAAACTTGTTCGGATCAGCCCAGTTTATATTTTTAACCGCTTGAGTTAGAGCATTTCTAGTGGCTGGGTTTGGGCCGGGTAGGAGGTGGCCCAAGCCCATTTCGACGTTCCAGTGCACAGGTGTGGCCCGGGCAGGAGGTAGGTCCCAGCAAACAGGGCAAGCCTGAAGACAAAATGAGCCTGTGCTCGTGCTTGGGGGCTGCTAATGTCAGAGCTGATGCTAGCATAACGTCAGTGGCTGGATTCAAATTTTTTTTAAACCCAACTTGGTGCATGTGCCAACGGTAAAAAAAAAAAAATTAAACTTCTGTGCGATGACGCCAGGTGGGTGTCAACCTTGATTTCCGCCAACAGCTAGAAGCCACGTGGCAAGTCCTGGGTTGTTCGATCATTTTTTGTCCTCCAATCCAACAGTTGCCTTTTTTGGTTTAAAAATCAAAATAAAAAAAAAAAACCAAAAAAATCTGATTTTTTATTTTTATTTTTATAAATACCGACTAATATTCTTCACTTTTGTAGGGGCTTTTTTTCTTCTGGCAGCAAGTGGGCTGGGCTGCTGTAAAGAGCAATCTGATGCAAGTGTCTCCTTGTGTCTGAGTTCGAAGATCAAGCCTCAAGGATGTCTCGAAAGGGTGATGACGCCTTAGGAAACTCCTTGGTTACCTTCACCAATGAAAACGACAACAAATTACATATAAATATTCTAACTTGGCATCATGAGTGACTTATGGCATGAGAGCAAAAATTATCATGGGTTTAGCACTTTAGGAGAGAGATCTGTGGGTTCCTATGAGGTACAGAGGTTCTAATGGAGAGGGAGAGAGGTTCTAAGGAGGTTTGATGAAGAGGGAGAAGGATGGTGAAGAGTTTTGGGTGACTTTCGCAGTTTCCAGCAGCTTGACAGTGACTCTGTCAAAGCTTCTGTCAATATGCCAAAACAGGGGAAATAAAGGAAAATGAGGAAGGATAGCACGAAAATTCCTGGGTTTGCATGTGAGAGAGAAAACTTGCTCTCTGAAGGTTGTGGGTTCTGTTGTGTTGGGTAGAAGGGGTCCTATTTATAGCTGCTGGGAATGAGTATTCTCCAAGAAACCCTAATGGTTTCTTTCCAATCTAGCTAAGCTTTCCTCTTCCTTTCTTCTCCTATTTCTTGACTTACCTCATGGATGCAAAAATCAGTTCTGCCCAATCCCACAAAATCAGGGATTTTTGGGAGCTCGAGGCTTCAGCAGCTTCAGAGGAGAGCTTCCATTTTCACTCATCTTCTTTCTCTTCTTTCCTCATCTTTTCACGGCCAAATATGATGAAGGAAAGAAAATGGGTGCGCCTTCTGGTTTAAGGGATAACATCTTCCCCTGCGTGCCAATACCTCTTGGTTTCTTGAATGCTTGCACTTGGAACTTGTTCTCCCAGCAGCCCCTCACATGTGAATCTTTGGCTTTCTTCGTGGCCTTCTGCTTCAGCCAAGTGCTGAAGGCCTTGGACTCTTTTTATTCAAATGGTATGGGCCCCTTAATATAGAAGACCGAGTCATCTAATAAGTGGGTTAAATTCACCAAGTATTTGGGCTTTATGGGCTATCTAAAGTAATGAGTTATTTTGGTTGGGCTACTCTAGTTGAAGCAATTGGGCTATTTCTTTTCTTGTGCTTACCCATGTTTGAACTTAAGAAAATGGGCTTGAGTCCTGAGGCCCCCAAGCGACCCGAGACTTCCATTTCTCTGCCCATCAATGGGCCCGATGACAATTCGTTACCATCCATACCACAACCCACTTAAGCAAGCCCCGGGCATTGGAGTGGCTTGGGCCCACTTAAGTTTGTAGTTCGATTGGGTGTGAAATAATAATTCCCCGCTTAGCATGGCATGTTGCTTGGCATGCTTTTAAATATGGCGCTTGGTAGGATAATTGGCATGGATTTGCAGAGCTAAATGCATTTTATAATTTTAATCTCAATTCCTAGCTTAACGGATTTTTTATTTAGCATGGCGTGCGGAGTATGACTCGTGTATGTCATACTTTCATGTGCTCCAAATCGGATCTTTTTCCAATAATATATCGTCTTGGGCTAGAAATTTATTCGGGCCCAACTATGGATTTTTTGGGCCTCAACAACTTTCAACATCAAATCTTCATACATTTTTTCCTTCTTCCAATATAATTTACTTTCCACATCAAATTTTCTTCACTTTCTAAATTTCATTTGCATTGAAATACAAATGGCATCTTCCATCGAAGCTGGAGGCGCATGGACAACCATGGAAGATGGTTTGTTGTATGAGTGTTGGGTCCAAGTTGGTCCGAACACGGGCTATGAGATGAAGTCCTCTCATATGTTGAGAAAAATTCATGCCGAATTTTGTGAAAGATCGGGTTTTGGTCGTACGGAAACGACTTGTTTAGTAGGTGGAAAATTTTGAATAAAGAGTTGGAGAAATGGAGAGATACGTTGGCAAAAACGAGGTACAACATTCGAAGCACAAGATTCAAAATTATTCCCATTGGTCCGACCATTGTGTTGAACGGGATGCCGCTCCACAATTCAATGGCATCGGATTCGCCTTTGGATTCCCCGATGAATCAAGACTCACCAATCCAAAAGGAGCCGAGGCCTCTTGGGAGAATACCCACTCCTATGGCAACTTGTTCATCATCTTATTCCTCCTCCCTTTCTTCTTCAGCTCGTCTGCTCCTTCCTTATTTAATTTATCGCTCTTGCCTTTCCAAGCATCTCCTCATATTCGACATTGAGAGTGGACTATGAAATTTAAAATCTGAGAAATGAAAGGATAGAGAGGATATGGTGTGAGAGGTCTGAGTTAAGCCTCTGGTTTTATAAAGGGATTTAAAATATAGAGATGGCAGATGACGCGATTTTAGAGGGTGAAAATTTTATCTGAAATATGAGATTTGTATTTTATAATAAATATCGACACGTGGCAACCAAAAAATCTTATCTAAAATTTGAGAGGTGAATTTTATAATAAATATGGATACGTGGCAACCAAAAATCTTATCCCAAAAATTCATTTGAATTACTAGATATGAATTTTATAATAAATATTGAAACGTGGAAACCGAAAATCTTCTCCAAATTAATTGTTTAAGTAAAAATAAATAAAATTTAAGTGAATAGTATTTGCCCTTTGCCATAACAATGGGTGGAAACACAACAAGCATTTTGCAATGGCTGCTACTATTAATGTAAATAGTGCATGCCCTTGCAATTTTTTTTGTTGATTTTCCAGCCATTGCCACGGCAACCCAAGAGCAATCACTATTCACATGAGTTATGAGGAGAAGAATTTGTATAAAGTTTTGGTGTAGGAAGTGAAGAATATGGGTAGGTATTTATTGAAAATATTTCTAAAATATTTATTTTATTTTTCTTTCTATTTTGTTGTTATTTAAATTGGATGTTGACTTCGCAATGACGTCAGCATTAGATCAGCTTGTCTAGACAGCAGTCCAGACAAGTCTTGCCTAAGGGCTTGTCCAGACTGATGGAGCCCACTCCTTGCTCGGGTTGGCCTTCACCATTTTTGGGGGCTGGTCATTCTGCCTATGCTAGCCTACACGGGTAGATCAAAGCCCCTAACGAAATAGGTTGAAACTCGATTCAAAATTTGAGTGTATAAGCAGAAAAAACAAAATACCAAAATTTGTGTGTGATGAACATGTGAATTACACAGATTTATGTGAGCAAACTCAATAGAAAATTCCTAAGATAAGCTGTAAATTGATCACGTTTGTAATTTCCCCCATGTGAATTAATCAGGCACTTATGGTGCCATTTGTAGCTGTAAAAGCTACTTTTGGTATAAAACTAACATGATTTTCATTACCAAAAGATTTAACCTTTAAAATCTTGGACGTTACAATTCATTCTTCCCTATACATGAAATTATCAAAATCCCTTTTTTTTTTGGTTAAAATAAGAAAACTATTAAACTTCACAAGGTAAGATATAATCCAAAAGATCTAATTATAAACTTTTTCTTTTCCTGCCCAAAAAATATTTTGTTGGGGCTAAAATGATAATCACAACCAGTTAATGGAATACAGATGGACCTTTACCAAAACTGACAAGATCCGCAAACAAAAACCAAAAATTTCAAACAAACCAATACATATGCAGTTGTGAATTGACCCCACTACCCCCACGTCTCTCCGCTCATCAACTCTCCCTCTTGAGTCTTGACCAGATTGTGGACAATCCAAAACTGTTCCTATCAACTCATCAAGCAAAGCATACTAAGCGGGCCCCACACACAGACCTTTCTTCCGAGTTTCAACTTTCAACATATGCTCTCTGGTGTTCTCTAGCTCTCGCTCCTTTCAGATTCTCTGCATCAGAGACATGGAGCAGATATCCTCTGCAACCGCACCGCCCAAGCTCCTCCTCCTTTTCCTCCTCGTCTCCGCCTGCCACGTCATGGGAGCTGCCGCTTACTCCATCGGCGTCAACTACGGCACCATAGCTGATAACCTCCCGCCGCCCTCCCAGGTCGCGACCTTCCTCAAGACCAAAACCACCATCGACCGCGTCAAAATCTTCGACGCCAACGCCGACATGCTCCGCGCCTTCGCCGACACCAAAATCGCCGTCACCGTCACAGTCGGAAACGGAGACGTTCCAGCCCTCGCCAAGCTCTCCGCGGCTCAGGCTTGGGTGTCCGCTAACATTCTGCCGTTCCACCCCCGCACGATCATCAACCGGATCGCCGTTGGCAACGAAATCCTCGCCACGTCGGACAAGGACCTCATCGCGCATCTGCTTCCCTCCATGAAGTCTCTCCACGAGGCTCTCCAGCTGGCTAATATCTCCACCGTCCAGGTCGGGACACCTCACTCTCTGGGCATACTAGCACCCAACACGGGCCCACCGAGTCAGGG